ACATAATAAAAAAAACTCAAACTTTTCAGTGGTGTAGTTGAACTTTTGTTGCAGAGCCGTATTTCATTTTACCAGAAATCAAAAGGTCTATATGAAAATTGATATTTTATATTAAAAAAGACGATTTCGTGTAAAATTTAATGCAAAGCTGGTCAATAAAATAACAATACTTGACTCGGAAATTAAAGTACTCGGCTCCAAAGGGTCCTCATACTTCAATATTTCCTCGCCAGTAATGTGAATTTTCCTAACATTTATGGAAATAACTATTACAGTTCAATGTAAAAAATAATTGAAAAAAAAATGAACTTCACCTATACAGGCTGATTTAAATTCACGGGTCACCATAGGGATCTCGGAAACTAAAAGATAGGTATAGGTACTTTAAATTGGGCATAGTTGCGCATTTTGATGCTTCAAAAAATGCTGTTTTAAAACTTAAATCATTCCGACTACTTTCAGAGATATCCTGAAAAAAAAACGAAATTTTGCACAATTGTTTTTATTTTTGACCGAAGTTTATTTAAAAAGATATTCAAAATAAATGACACATTATTATGGCAACTTTTTTCCCTCAACAAGATGCTAGTTTTCAATTAAATAAAATAAAAATGTAAACAAAAACGACCTTGACCGCTTTCTCGTATGACACAATAATCCCTATAACGTTACATAGACCAACGACAAATTAACTACAAATGTTAATTACACAAAAAAAAGACCGCCCTTGTCTACCTTAATTAAGATTTCTGAAAATTCCATCCTGCCAGACGAAATAAACACAGCGCTATTATATATAATTTCTCTTCATTCGAAAGACTGCAATTTGTTTCCTTCAGATCTGAACAGCTCTGGAAAATAACTTGTTAGTCTATCTTGCAAATTTTGCGAGTTCTGAATTATGCAAGAAATGTGAGAGCTTCCTACCAACGAATGGTCCATTGCAATTTGTTCGACAATCTTCTGAACACAAGGAAAAGATTCGTACATATTTTTTTCAAAGTGACCATAAACTCAGTTTCCCAAGGTTTGCTGTGGTTTCATCCTTAGCTTTTAAAAGGTTTGCACGCAAAGAGAACAGCATCGTGTTGGTGTACGTGGCAACAGCCCCGTACGATTATTAGAATTTGAACCATGGAAGTAGAAACAAACTACTGTACGATGTAAAGCTCGAAATTTGATTACTTAATTAAGCACATCATTTAAATCAGAAGATAAAATTGCGATCATTTTCCTTTATTAAGTATAGGTGGCTAGTTCATTTTCGATCGATGTAGGTCCCAAACTAATGAAAATCAAATACGTAGTGTTTAATTGACGTAATTGACATAATTTATTTAAGCCGCCAGGGGGTCGCCAGAATTTTTCAACGTGCAAAGGGGTCGCGTGTTCGAAAAAGTTGAAAACACTGCTCTAGAGTAATGTATGTAGAAATTATATTTTCAAGAACCACCCTAAAAAATGATTGCATACGTCATTCTCAAAGTTAGATATAATTTTACTTTGCATTTGCAATTTGTCAGTGGCGACCTCCTATTGGTTATCATGAATAGTATGCCGTCCTTAATTGGGAGAATCAGGACCGTAGCTAGATTATGTAGTTACTAATTAAGTCTCGCGCAGATACTACTCGCTGAAGAAATTGGTTTTTAGCACAACCCACAAAAGTAGAGCGCTTATGTCGTCACATTTCCGCCCGTCTGTCTGTGGTTCGTGCTATAGATCAGTCTCTAGACCTTATATTGACTTCGGGTTTTCGCTATATGAAAGAAAGCTTATGGGTTCCAAATGTGCTACTGTCCTTTTAAAAGGACACTAACATTTTAATTATTTTCAAAAGTTTCGCGAAAAGTTACATAGCTGCCGCCACCGGTGTTACAATTGGAAAGAATCACCAGTGCTAATGTCGTATATTGTTCGCGCCAACTGCCCAAGGTTGAGTGTTCACTAGTGTCTGTTTGAGGTGCATTATTTTTGACACAACATGGATTACTGGAAGTAAGTATATTATCACTATTGTTGTTTCTATATTGTACTGCATGCAAGTATTTGAGGGCTAAAACTATGTCCCACCATCAGCTTCGATGTATGTACTGTTCCATAACCTCAAAAAATTTCTTGGAAATTGATCTCAAATATGGGCGTCCTTTTAAAAGGACGGTAGGAACATACGAGTACAATTTCCATTTTTTTGTAGGTATGTCTTTTTTTTGTATAATTCGCTTTTTACCAAAGTTTTCAATCAACCTACCATTTAAATTTGTATTTCACATCACATGCAGTGCCCTCCGGGAAATGTGGCATTTGCGATATATTGGTTGTGATTTCTTATACTCGACCTTTGAAGCTTCACAAGCTTTTGGAGGAGTTGGAGAATCTGAATGATATTCCGAGGCTCCCAGATGGAATTGTCCTCTATCCACCTGAGGATGCAAACGCCATCGTAACCGATGAGGATTCTGGCGATGAAGACAACGTCACCATGAATAACTTACCTGGAGGTCAGCTGCGCTCCAACGTAGACGTCATCATTGACAAAGATCCATCCGGGGAAGATACAGAATCGAAGAATGATGCTCCGAGGATGACTTGCCCCTCTCGACAATAAAACGGAATCTCACCGAACCGCAGGATAGCTCAGAGTATGACTTGCCGCGTCCGTCGAAAAAAAAGCGTAAGTTCACAAAAATTGTCGACCAAGATACGTGTGGAAAAGAGATTGAATCGGAGGATAGCTCGGACGATGACTTGCCTCAGTTGCCGGCAAAAAAACGCAAGGCCAAAAAACCCAAGAAACACAACTTTCTTGGACAAAGGAAGATCTGGGCCCAAAAATTTTTTAGAGAATTTGCAAGTGATTGTGGGCCAACAAATCATTTGACGCCATTGCAATTGTTCGAATGTTTCTTTGATGATGAAACATTATCTCTGATTCTAAATTATTCAAACTTGTATGCGGCTCAAAAGAATGCGGTTGGTGACATGAGCAAGGATGAGCTTAGATGCTTTATAGGAGTGCTGATTCTCAGTGGGTACGTGGTTTTATCACGGCGACAAATGTTCTGGGAGAATTTGAACGACACGCGCAATACAGCCGTTACATCTGCAATTTCGCGGGATCGATTCAACTATATCATGAAAAACATACATTGCTGTGATAATACCGATTTGCAAAAAGATGACAAATTTGCGAAAGTTCGACCCCTACTGAACCTGCTGAATGAAAAGTTTATGGAGTTTGCACCTTTGCAAGAAAACCACAGCATTGATGAATCAATGATTCCTTATTACGGGCGACCTAGTTGTAAGCAATTCATACGTGGCAAACCAATCAGATGGGGCTATAAGTTTTGGACTGCAACTACGCGTCTAGGCTACGTGAATTGGTTCAATCCTTATCAAGGTGCATCTACAACTCTGCCAGAAAATTATAAAGCTATGGGATTAGGATCCAGCGTAATTCACGAATATGCAGATATTTTTGCAGAGCCGCTGGCAAAACATGACATTTCATCTCTTCTTTGATAATTTCTTCACGTCTATTCCTCTCTTGAGTGAACTTGAAACTCGTGGTATAAAAGCGACTGGTACGGTGCGAGAAAATAGAACAGGAAAATGTCCCCTGAGAGCAAGAAAATGAAGAAAACGGCCAGAGGGACATTTGACTTTGCAAGATCTAATAACGGAATCATCGTTTGCAAGTAGAATGATAACAGTGTGGTAAATGTTGCATCCAATGCTCTCAACGTTCACCCCACCAATCAAGTGAAGAGATACTCTTACAAAGAAAAAAGCAAAGTCAATATTGAGCAACCTGGCATAATCAAAACCTATAACGTAAATATGGGGGGAGTCGACAGGTGCGACCAAAACATAAGTTTATACCGGATCTCCATCCTAGGAAAAAAATGGTACTTCCCATTGATCTGCCAGTGCATTGACATGGCTATGCAAAATGCCTGGCAGCTACATAGATTGAACAGGGGAACCAAGGATCAGCTAAGTTTTCGAAGAGCGGTCGCAATGAACCTGCTGGAGACTTACAAAAAGTCTACAAGAAGAGGAGTTGCCAAACCTTCCAGATTGGCAAATGAATTTTCAAGATATGACCGATTTGACCACTTGGTTGTATACAAAGAAAAGCAAAGTCGTTGCGGGCAATGTCATAAAAAAGTGCAGTTTCAATGCGAGAAATGTCAAGTTGCGTTGCATCCGAAAGGTTGTTTTAAATTATACCACAGCCAATGATTTTTATTATGTTTTTTTTGTGTTTTGTTTCTTTTTTATATGTACTGTGTTGTAGAATGTATCAATAGAAGTTTCCTATTTTTTAAAGTTTGTTGCAACATTTGTAATTGAATAATAAAAATAAACAAAATAAAACATCCTCTTAGTAGTCGATTACGCTACTGTCCTTTTAAAAGGACATCATTATTTTTGCAAAAAATTAGACGCAATCGTTCAATATGGTCATAATTAACGCCTTTGTGGAATATTGTTTAATTATTATCATTCTATTCAATTGTGTTAATGAAAAACCACTTCAGCATTATCTGGGTTATGAAGATGAAGTTAAGTTACAGACCATAAAAGTTAAACATCTTGTAAGCTTTGTTTATTCATTTATAAACAATGTTGTAAGATAAATTCAATATATAAAAAAAGAAGATCTTCACGGGATCTAATTCATTTAAATCAGTTCATTTGCCACCTAAGCGAAAATATCTTTCTAGAGGGAAGGGAAGGAAACAACTTTTTTTGGTTTTCTTCCCCTACTGAATTATATCATATATAATTTAATTTATTCGTTTAAGATTGTTAACATATGAAATATTCATGATATTCCAAAGAATATTTTCAACGATATGGAAAGAGTTAACGCATAATCAAACTTGACAATTAATCCGATTATAACTAGTTAAATTAGAAAAAAGAAGAAGTTAAACAAAATAAACTACATCAAAATTATAACAATATACCTACCTAATATGACTACATACCTGCAATGGTCTAAATCTCGTTTATTTCCTAACAGAAGGCTTGTGTAATACGACGGTAATTTTAACTTCGATAATTGACCTAAAAGCTCTCGCGCTTCACGAAAGCTGTGTCTGTCGTTCACAGAATAGACGATCACGAAAGCTTCTCCCCAACGGATGTGTTCGTATAGGCAGCCATCCTTCTGAAACAAAAACAGAATTAGTACACCATCCACTAGAATCTGCCATTTGAAGAAATTATTTCGCTTGAATGAACTTCGCCATAAATAATTATAATGAAAAAACTTCTACTTCCATTAAGGCGACGTACTAATCGTAAATCTTATTTACATAAGCACTTAATGCAATTTTGAGTTACACTTACAATGCAGTTAGTGATTAATTAGCACAATAAATTTTGGACGGGTCAACTATTACAACCTTTGATCTTGGCAGTTTTTACCTTGTAAATCATAAGAAGAAAGTAGATACACTTCATTAATTATTGTATTGTTGTTTCTATTTATTGACGATGCGTATCCTAATTTATTGTGTAGAACTTGCAAGAGAAGATGGTAAGTGTGCCATAAATTGGAGTATAAGAACGAAAGTGACTTTAATATTGATTTAAGCGGTCTTCGCCAAAAAATGATAGGTATGTGTATGTGTGTTTTACTAGAACATCTGTTGGATAACAACTTTCGATAATGAAAATTTAAAAGTATATACCTACCTATCTATGCGGAAGTAGCATCTTCCGGGTTATGTACCTATATATAAACTAAATTAGAACCATTATGCGTCCTTTAAATATATTCGACTGTTAACACTTTCATTCATTGAGCATTGAATAGCTTACAAATTATAAAGAAACTACCAATTATCGTTTCATTTACAGAAAGTTAGGCGCGATGATATACTATTGCATGCGTTTGTGCGATTGTTGCAAACAAAGAGGTTGATTAGTGAAAATTGATAAGTATAAGTTTTGAATTGAAATTAAAGATTAGAGATGTAGTGAAATGGTTGGTTTGCTTACTACATTGGAAGTTCAAGTTAAAATGAATGAAATGTCGTTCTTTCACACCGAAACTTCCTGTGAAAAAAACCTATGACGATCATAGCCAGTTTGCTGAAAGTCAAATGAAAGCCAACTAATTTAGTATCTTTTCTTTTGTTGAAAATATTACATGGCATTCTTTCAAACCTTACAACAAAAATTATCTCACACACGATGCGATATTAGAAAATCGCACTACATTCACACATCTATTTTCAACTGTGAAATGATGAACCGTGTTCAAGGTTATACCGAAAATCTTTTCGTAGTAAGTAGGTACTTATGAAGAAGAGGTTATGCCATATACCGTCAGCGGAACACAATTGACGAATAAGTTGGACGGTACTCTCCTGCAAATTATTTGGAGTGAAAGAAAAAAATAAGAAGCAATATCAGGGAAAAATTTAAGAAGATGGGGGATGATGTTCAACACGCGACAAGTTGGGTAAAATGAGAATGAAATGAGGAGAAGTCTTGTATCAGCAGTATCTGTTAAAATGATTTATTAGTCAGCGCATTATAATTCTAAACTGGCAAATCGAAGGTAACCGTGAACGAATTAAGCAGTATCTTTGTTAAATGTTAATTAACCTCTACTTCTAAAGTGTGCCAATTTATTGTTTTATAGTAGTTCATTTTTTTGTGGACTGTACCATTATCTCTCTGTTGATGTTTCCTTCCCTACTTTTCATCATATAGTTAATCATAGATTATAGGGGTTATATTCACTCCTGTCGTCCGAACGAATCTCATCCCGAGTGGATTCAAATAGTCTAATAATTTTTTGTTAATACATATCCATGACCTCGTGTTATATAGGATAAAGGTGTAAGAACCACTTACTTTAGGACCGGCCATAACTGGTAATATGTCCAGAGAGATAGTGTGGATGGCATAGTCGCTCTACTCCAGAGTGAATCACGTGTACCCACTGTAAACGATGCTGAGTCGACCCCAAGAAGGAAAAATGGCAAAGAAAAAAGAGGGGTCCAAGGATCGAACCCGGCACTACCACGTTGTGTCCTCAGATGGAGTCTTGTAGACTGTTTTTAATAGTCCATACCGCGCATCGAAAAAACCGACCACGGTTGCCGTTATCCGTTCCATAAATCGATTTCCTCGAATTTTTTTGTTTTATGCGTATCAATGCTAAATTTGTTCTTTATCTAAACTGTTACTTTGTCACATAATTAACATTCTCTTGTACTAAATATATGCATACACATCTGAATGCTAAACAGAATTTTAATCCAACCAAAGAAATGATATTACTGAAATTAAATGCAAACTCCCAAATAATGACAAAAAATATAAACAAAGTCCTTTATGTGGATTCTTATTGATGAATACAATACAAATCTATTTCGTGCAAATGATTCTCATAAGTCGGTTCCTTTAGGAATACTAAAATTACGTTTAACAAAATTACTATGCTATTCTCATAAACAGTCGATTATTACTTTATACAAATCACAAATTTAAAGCAACTTCCAAGTATTGATGTGGATGAGATTCCCGTCAGGTTACAATTGGTCTTATTTTTTCTTAGAAAGGGCAGCTTTACTTAGAAATATGTAAACAAATCGCTTCGGAATGGTACATCTGAACTTTCTGCACCACCCCGGTAAAGTTAGCGTCTTGCCGAATGGAAAAATTTAGCGCACAAATTTCCGTATGAAAGCAAACCGGCTTTGAACTCTCGAAGACAAGGCTCGAGATTCGTGCACAGCAATAAAGAAGCAGTTTTGCACTGTATTGATATTAAGTTAACCCAATTAATTAGGTTTTGCTGCGACTAAATGCACCAATTATTTGAATAATCCCCTAGGGGAGATCCTGAACTTTAGTCAAATATCTGTTTACCCCATTTGGAGAAGGAACCACTGATCTTTTCACGAGGCTTCAGTCTCAATGCACGAAATTGAACTTCGTGCTCTTGTTATATAAATAACTATTTTAAATTTCTACCTTATGCCGTTGAATATAAATCTTTATTTACAGAATGTTATCACCCAAAAACGGGCAGCCTTGCTACAAATCAGGCTAACAGCCCGTTTTATCTCGCAACTTTTGCGTAAACTTAAACTCGCCGGTAACCCGCACTTCGTCAGAAATTAGAATTAAAGTAAATGTTTCTCAACGACGTGATCGACTTTTAGTAAATCACGCCAGCTGCCTATACTTTACAGCAACTCGATAAGATTTTACCAACTAATGACGTGTTTTGGTTCTTGAAGTTGAACCGCGAATGTTAGCAAATACTCGAAGTAAATTTCTCGCAACCAAAAAAATGCGTGCTTTCTCTCTGAAGGTCTAACCTCGAATGCTAGCTAAAATCCGTCAGAGATCCCGGTGTCTTGTTAACGTATTTGATCGTGGATCTGGATACATGTACTTGTTTTTGCGTCATTTCTAATTACCAAGTAAATCACACTTGAATAGCGTTATGCAGTAAGAAAACATCTAATCAAACAAGCTTTAATTAGAGGTCTTCTAAAGACTAGTATAACCGATATAAGGAATGAGCTAATCCTGATTCTGAGGCTTGGAGTACGAAAAACTAATTAAGAAACAAATTATCTCTTGTTAATCCGACAAACTGTTGCCAATCATTTCCGAAACACATTAAGCGTTCACTGCGCTATAAAATTCAATTACGCAGAAAAGAATATGATCGCTAACTTTAAATGAAAACTACGAACATTCCCACATATCTAAATTTATTAAAATTTTGAATTTAGCAAGCCTACAACCACCCTTGCAATCAATGTGAATCCAAAAAATTACAAATACCAATGTTAGTCTGCAATGCGAAATCGATATTGTAAGAAAATATACAAGTGATAACCTCAAAATTTTATTTGTATATATTCTGTATTATGAGTTGTAAAATTCCCTTCTTATTTCCCCACTTGTTTTGTACCGCTCTTCATCCCTATAAAAGCAGGATTTCGTAATTCAAGACACTTTTTCCCAGACTCTTCCTGAAACTTTCTCAGATTAAGCTCCGGCCACAACCGTAATCCACACCTGTTAATTTTTATATCCCAGAAGCATTTTACTTTATTTCCGTTTAGCTTTTCGTTCTTTAGTTTCATTATTATTTATCCGATCTGTAAATTTTATATTCAGTTTCATACCGTTGGGATCAACGACATTCGTGTAGGGTATAGCCTGCCGACTTCCGTTACCGAACGCTGCAGCGACTTATCGGGTTCCTGACGAGATCGATTCGACCTGACTGGAACACGATTATCATTACACCAGTAGTGGATGCTCTAGTTCAGGGTTCATTAAACCTGAAAATGAGGTTAGAGGAAAACTTTTCCGAATTCCGATATTTGTCTGGAATCCACTAGTCTAGATGTAAGTTAAGTTCAGTAATGAAAATTATTCTTGTTGTAGTAGAGTTCGTTATTTGCGCGTTATAGATTTCTTTCACCTAGTTCTTTACTTCGCCGACCGAGGTCGTTGCTATCCTTTAATTTGTTATTTTGCGCGTTGTTGTACTTCTTGCTCTTCAGTGAAGAAATTATTAGATGCAAACTTTCTTTTGGGAATACAATTACTTTTCTGACTTCCTGTCTACCGTTAAGAGATTTTTGTTTTAGTTTTACCATATTTATCTTTGGAGTGGTTTTTTTTGTCTTTGATGTCTGTGGCTGTGGCATCGTTTTTACGGATCTGTTTTGCATTTAAACAATACGAGGTACACATGTTACATTATGACGCAGCATTTTTTAGCGCATTTTTTAAGAATTAAAAAAAATGTGGAAGTAGTTTTATCCTTCATGGTACTCTAATGAAAGGTCTCAACGAAAGGAATTAATTTCTACCAACCATAGCCCTCCTTCTCGACCTCTTATTGTAATCTGGTATATTCCCTTATACCTCAAGAACGGATTGTCGGAAGAGGGTACTCACAAAGGGCGATTGGGACGTCTGCAAGAAATATATCCATTGGTGATGTCAAAACAAAAGCTATTTCGGTTAAAAAAATGCACTTTGTCTGCACAAGATTTGGGCACAATTTATACTTGTTTCTTATTACATCTGTTTATTTGGGGCTTTTACTAGTATTAAGTCATTAGAATGATTGTTTCCTTTTGAGTATTATTTACAGTTTTAATATACTGTTTAGCTACTTAGTGTCAGACGTTAGACATTGCTATTTCGCAATATTTAATGTGCAGCGCGATTCACTACCCCTTTTATTTGTGTTTTGTGTTATTGTTTGTTACATATTTGCAGAACGCGCCCTTCTTGAGACTTCTTGGCCGTTGCGAGCTGTAGTTCAAAAGGTAATTTTGTTGTTTTCATCGATTCCTTGATTATCGTTTGATTAGATGATTACATACTGGTTTTCGCTACAACGGAATTGTAATTATTACATTTGCTTGAGATTCATTTAACGCTTATAGCTCCGTTGTTTCTGCGGAAGCCTGTTTTGATATTCATACTTTGTCCGACTACGTGTTGAACCCCCTGATCATTGATTATATCACCATCGACTGTGATGTCAATTATTGTTTATCAAGACCAGAACAGGATCTCTCTCCTTTCCTCCTTTTGGTAAGTATTCTCCCCTCTCTTTTAACATTTATTAAAGACTAAGTGGCGTCTATCCGGATTACTACTCGTATTACTAGACGAGTTGGTTTAATTACATAACCTAAAATTATAACAGTTTTTGAACTCCAGCCGGTGCCCTAACTGCTTCACAGGATGTCTCCTATGTAAACATACATTAAAGTTGGTGTGATTTTATTAATAAGCTTTTAGCGATTGCGACTATGATGTCTTAGTTAAAACGCAAGCCGAATGGATTTCATAAACAATTTTCTATAGAAAGGAATATATTAAGTTCAACGATAATTTTCCATGAAGAACAAAACAAAGAATGTGCGGATTTGTAAGTTTGTATTCCTCAAATGTTCCCTTTCAAACCAGAACGTAACACAAAATACTGAAAAGAATCAGCAAACACCGTGAAAAAATAGCGCATTCTAATTTCGACAAAAAAAGGAAAATACTTACAGTCAACGAACCTGATTAATTGAAGTTGAATTTCGCAGTTGAAAAAGGCTCAGCGAAACGCAATGAAAAATAATAAAAAAAATGTTTACGAATGCCCGTTAATTTATTTAATTATACTTGTAATATTAAATAGACGTAGAGCTGCGATTACATTTTTGCATGTCTTCATTATAATTTAAATAGGAAATGCATAATTATGGCAAGCCGGCTTTAATATCACACCTCCTTCAACTGCTCATTTCTTATACCCTTCCTGTATTTAGCAAGTTCGCAGCCGAGAGTTTTTCGTCTGATTATTTTACTTTCTTCTGGGCAACATCGTGTATTATTATTTATTATGTAAGTAGTCAATGTAATGAACGGAAAAACAAAACAAAATTGTGGACATGGAAATTATTAATTCTATAAATCGAGTAGGATCAAACGGAATTAATTTAAAATAAAATGAAATTAAAATTTGGTATTTTACTAAGTGCTACGTTTTCTATTCCGTCAAAGTTGATTGAAATCGACAAAATACAATAAATAGAGACCGTGACACGCCATCTTAAACGAACGAGCGCACGTTTTCTGAATGTAATTACCATAAACTAACCAATAATTTGCAATATTTGTTTTCAATATGTTTGAGAAACTAGTTTAAATAGTAAATCATGTTTAACTAATGGACAAGACTTGGTTACCCACAGAAGCCAACACTTAAGAAGCCCTCAATCTCGTGTCAGTTTTGTGAACAACGACGTTGAGTTAATAATAATTATCTTGCAACCTACCTAAAGCACCTACTTACCTTAGAAGACCATCTTATACTTCAATGGATT